GGAGGGATGGAAGTTGAGATGTTTTCCCTGGGCTCACCAGTGAATTTAAATGGCCCTTATATGACCCCTAGTCTCCTCCTCTACACATAAAAAATGGGACAGTATGTGAGGAGAAATCTTTTCAATGGAGACAAAGGCAGCAATAAAATTACTTTTTTTTTTAGACGAGTTGGGAAAGGTTGGGTACATTTCAGAAGCTTATAATCCTGTGTCCAGGTTGGTTAGGTTTCTGGTAAGAAATGAGAGGAAATCTCACTGGGGACACATGAAAACTTAGCATAGCTTCTAACCTTTATCCACTCTATTCAAAACTTAAACTAGAAGTAAAGTCAAAACTTTTTTCCCATTTAGATAAAAGTATGGAAAAGTTTAAAACCATGGCATGTTTTTTTTCATTTGTGCGCCAATAGCTTTTTCTTCATTCCTGTCCTGTATACGCATCAGGAAGTGAGAAGAAATCTATAAATGAAGGGAATTCGATCATTGACTGCTGTCGCCAGAAGTGTCCTCGTTACAAGATTTCCCCATATTCCTGTGTGGTAACAACTCAAAATGTTGGATTTTCCCTCACTTTCATTCCAAGTGACAGTGGCCATAATGACATAGATGGAGGGTGAAACAGACAGAAATTAAAGCAGAACTTGGAATTATGGAAAACTACCCTTGCAGTAGGGCTCTTCCTGCACTGCAAGGGTTATGGTTCTTGCCTAGAACATTTACTTACCTTAGCCCTCACTCCTGAATGCTCCTCTTTTCATGCAACTGATCTTTGGGTGCTCCAATGGACAGGCTTAAGGTGCCCATACACTGTTTGAATTTCAGCAGGTTTTTGAGTAACCGCACGAATATCACACAGTGTCTGCACCATTTTGATTGGCATCCTTCAATCAGCTCATCGAAGGAGCCGATCGGAAAATCTTTGATCGATCAGGGCCGGCAGCCAATGAGCTGCCAGCTCTGGTCAGGTATTCTGACAGGGGCAGCTGTACCAGCGGGTTCAACAAAAAAATTAGATCAGTGTATGGCCAGCCTAAATTGTGATGTCAGCAAATACAATGCAGGACCATTAGTCCACACCTAAAGCATCAGAGTAAGGGCCCATTCACACCACATAATCTCCAAACCAGACTAGATTGTTTCTGAATCCAAAATGTATCCTAATGCATCCCTATGCTATTTCTGGCCGCTGTTCACACCAGCGCAGTCCATTCCAGACCAGAAAAATACTGCACGTCACATTTTGTCTGGTTTGGAATGCACTGGAACTGCCGGCAGGTTCACACCATTGTCCGGACCAGATCTGGTCTGGAAAATGGTGTGAACCTGCCCTAAAGGTGAGTGCAGGCTACTGGGGGAGTGAGGGATAAGGTAGTAAACGTGCCTTATAATGGTACCCTAGACAAAGAGGAGCATTTAATCCTTGCAGTGCGGGGGCGCCTCTACACTGCAATGGTATTTTCATAGTCCCGGATTTCCAGCTTTTAACCCAACAAGGGCTCTAGCCCCCTCACCATTAGCTAGAGTTGTAAATTTAATAGAGACTGCACAGTCCACCACTTTAAGCTGGGGTGTCCTGAGATTTTTACATACTTTTAAAAGGTGCAGTGACAAAAAAAAAAAAAAAAAAAAAGGTTGAGAAACACTTATCTAGATAACCACACACATAGTTCTGTTTAACATTCAGTCTGTAGAGATCAGTGCTTTCTTCCCGAACAAGTGTACAAGTACAGTACAGAGCTGATAAACAGGAGAGGCCCTCCCTTCCTCCCAGAATAACGTGTGACCCGGGAAACCCCCGTGTTCTGTACATGACCTCACTGTCAGGAGATCAGCTTGTGAAAGTGAAACTAATGCTAAAATGGGACATTACCATTCCACGGTGTGCGAGTCATGGGGAACAACATGATAGAATCGTCACTGCTAAATCAGACTTCATGTACTTTCCAGCTATAGAAGTGACGGCTTGTGTCTTCCTATAGTCAGAGGGTGATACACTGACGATTCCTGATTAGTGTTATGCGTTGTATAGCTTCATTAGCTCACAACAGGAATAAAAACTTGGCCTGTCGGCTAGCTAACAGTAACATATGCACACGGAGTAAACAACACTGCTTTCCGGTTAGTACAGTGAATAGTTTTTATAGATGTAAGCACAGCAGTATTGAATATTATGGGCCCATGCACACAGCTGCGTTGAGCACAGCAATCTTGCGTTGCGTAAAATTGATGTATAAAATTCATGTACAGACACAAAGCAGTAAGAATTTACTGATTACCTACACAGGATCTTGCTGGCAGAAAGATTCTGTGTTAAAAAAAAAAAAAGCATCTAAGACCCCATTCACACCAGGGCTGTAGCGGTTAAGTGCGGATTCTGCATGATTTTTGAAAGGGCATTTTTAATCGCATTTCAGCGCTGAAACGCAATTAAAAATGCCCAAAAACGTGCTCATTAGCGTGTTTCCATTGAAATCTACATGGAAAACGCACTGATCAGCACTGAAAAAGTAGCTTAGGGAGCAGTCTGGGTGGCAGGCAGATTGAAACATGCAATTGCGTGCGTTTGCGTGAACAGGCCCCATAGGAATACATGTGTTTTTACTGTTGGAAAAATTTGCCCAACCAAGTCGCCCCGGTGTGAACGGGGCACAATGGCTCTTGCATAAGTCCCCACAGTGTAAATTCCAGCGTATTTCTGCCACGTACAGCCTTCAATGGGGGAAAATATATAAACTGGCGCAGACAGAATTCAGAGCTGTTGCCCATAGTAACCAATCAGCTGTTCTTTTCAGTTACGCTTAATCGAAAGCATGGGCAACTGATCCAGATTCTGTCTGTGCCAATATTAATAAATTCCCCTCAATGGCTGGACTTGCCTAAGCATGTGTATGCATATAGGTGTACAGCCCAAAATGCAGACTGTCTGTGTTCAGGGTTGTGTGCCCATACACATGCACTTGTTTAGGCAAGCCCAGTGAACAGCCATTGACTTCTGTGGGAGGCTGTATGCAGAACTTGTGGCTCATTTGTGGCGGAAATATGCCCGGAATTTACATTTATGGCCACAAGTGGCCATGGACGAGAGCTCTAAGGGTCACTAAAGTGTTTCTGTAAACATGTTTAGACACAAACATACAGATTTACAGAATTCTTACATTCCTCTAGCGCATATGTTTGCCTGTATTTCCATTTACATGTGTATAGATGCATATACAGTATGCGTAAATTGCTGACTTTGGACACATATTTTCCTAGTTTTTTTACAGCTGTGAACATAGCACAAGTTTCATGAGCTTTATACAGCTGCGTACAAGGGTTCATAGAAAAAAAATTGAACGCTGTATGCTGATGTGAACCAGGCCATTAATTTACACGTGTAGACGCATGTACGGGTGTTGAGACTGAAAGCTGAGCTAGAGAAGCCTTTCTGAACAAGGGTGCACACCGTGGTGCCTTTTGGCTTTCTCAGGGATGCCTCGAAATGTTGTGATGGTAGG